TTTGGCCCACATTTGTAATATTGACCACATTCATACACCAGGCTAAATGGTATTAGGGCTTAGCCATGGACAAGCAGTAGAGTGACACAGTTGCCAATGTCCAAATGAATCAAGTCATGCAAACCAGGGATTCTAGTTTATTTCATGAAGAACTAGTAAAGAGAGATGGAAAAGAAACCTTTTGGAACAGCCAGCAGACTCTGCAATACACATTTAGTTCTGAGTTGTGGCATTGTTTCTTTCAAACCCCATGAATGCACTCATTGTGGAAGCTTAGCCAAGTACTACAAAGGTTCCATTACTAAACAATAGTCAGTGGCTATTCATTATTTTTAGAATATGTATAAATGCAGTGGCAAAAATGCCATAATGTTTTTAATATAATCTTAAAAAATGGCTCATGGTTAGAACGCTCAGTCAGAAGACCATTGAGAGATCAATGGCTCAGCAGTTCAAAACCCAAGAGCGAGCCATGTGACGGAATGAGCTTCCATCAATTTGTCCCAGATCCTGCCAACCTAATAGTTGGAAAGCATGCAAATGCAAGTAGATAAATAGGTGCCACTTTATTGAAAAATACCAGGGACATGAAAGGAGCCCCATCAGGTATTTCCTGGACAACAGTGATGTCACTAGCGAATCCAGTGGTTCTCAACCTGTGGGTCGGGACCCCATTTGGGTCGATCGACCATTTCACAGGGGTCGCCAAGCAAGGCTGTCCGCCATTTTTTTTGTCCGCCATTTTTTTCCCCTTTTCCGGCGGGTGCCTTACCTCCCTTGAGCTGGTCCAGCTGGTGGTTGGCCTGCTCCATCTCTGCTGCTTGCCAGCTACGCCTCGGCCGGTGCAGGGGGCCGAACCACGCATGTGCGGCGCTCCCGGGCAGGGAAAGTCCTCGACTTACGACCAGTTGGGTAGTCTTCAACTTACGACCAGTTTAGTCCTCGACTTACGACCGGTTTAGTCCTCGACTTACAACCGGTTGGGGTCGCGGCATTAAAAAGGTTGAGAACCACTGAGCTAGTCCTTTCAATCCGGAAGCACCTTGGTAGGTGCTTCAATTTATCCTTAATTAGATTAATTAAGGATAATTTATCCTTAATTAGATTAGGTACCATCTTTTTTTTTATCCCCTCAACATGTTGAAGAGGCTAGCAGATAAAATTGTGAAAGTGTTGAGTATGCAGTTCTTGTTCTTATATTTGAAATAGTTGTTCCTGGGATATGATTTATTGGTAAGAAGACGTATTGGTGCTATATTTCATTTTTGGTTAACACTGTTTCTAGTTCAGCATGCCCAAGTAGTTATAAAATATGCCCAAGTAGTTATAAAATATACCAGTATGTTTTTTGAATCATGCCCAAGTAGTTATAAAATATACCAGTATGTTTTTTGAAAAATTCAAATGTATTTTAATGAGAATAATACAATTCAGTTAAATTATAAATCTACTCTTTTATAATTGGATTGCAGACAGAAAAGGAAAATAATTACATTGGTCGACATCAATCCTACATGCATGCATTTTGTCCCAATCTGAACTAACAGTTCTNTTCTATTAAAATAAGATAATGGGGGGGTTGGGGAGTGAGAAGGCACTTCCACATGTCATGAAATGAAAATTATTTATGGAAGGATAGTGAATTGTGGCAAACCAAAAGTCAATGAACTATACCTCCCATCATATTCCAGCCATCCCATTCAACAATTAAATATGGAAGTGATAGTTCAACTTTTGGGGTTCTCTAATCTCTCAACATTCTTGCAGGAACAAGTTCCATTTATCTGTCTGTCTGTCTGTCTAGATATATAGATATTGGGATATGGATGGATATATAGATACACATTTAACATTCATCCCCAGCTGAAAAATTAAATACTGTATGTTATTCTAGTTACCCTATCATTCAAATAAATGATACTTATTTATAAATTCTACTTATTTATTCACTTTTTATGCATTTGGATTTTGCAAAAAAGGTAATTTTATTCTACCTAAATGCTTGTTTTCTTCAGCCCGTGTTACAAGGTAGAGGTTTTTTAGTGCCAGATTTAATATTATAGAATCTAAAATGATTCAACTGACCTTTTACTGAACAATTATGCACATTTTACTGGTTGTTTTGGTGACATGGCCAGATATTCTGAGCCTTTTGCTTTTCGTTGTTTATTATTTCTGATAGACAAAGGCAGTACTGTGTTGCTGTAATTCCCACCACAATCATTCCTTTATTTTCAGAAAGGAAAATGGGTCATGTTCTCAGAAGCTGTCTGGAAAAATGTTCTGACTTGCAATTTATGGCTAAGTTGTTTCTGCATTGGTGGCCAAATTTAAAGTTTACAGAATGTTGTGCAATGTTTATCTAGCAAGTTTGCCTAAGTTCTATTTTTTTTAATTTTTAGATATTAAAGAAAGTTAAGAGGCATGAGCTAAAAAAAAAACTACCTGCATCATATATTTTATCTCTCTCCTGTTTTTCTTTATTGATTTTGTAGATAAATAAGGGTTTTTTATTACTGTTTATTAAATTTATCAGCTTACAATGTAATAAAACATACAGATAAAACAATTATAAGAACAGAATGAAATTACAAAAAATTAAAACAAACTAAAAAACCATGGGTTGGGGCAGAGAAGTGATGGTGTCTTCTCTGTTACTGCACAAGCCATCTCCAACCAACAGTTTCTCCTTCAAGACCCCGTGCCACCAGCACAGCCAGGTTTTAAGGCTTTTTCTGAAGGCCAAAAGAAAGGAGACGAATCTCATCTCCTGCAGCAAGATGTCCCAAAGCAGGGGTAGGCAACCTTGGCTCTTTTATGACTCGTGGACTTCTGGGAGTTGAAGTCCACAGGTCATAAAAAAGCCAAGGTTGCCTACCCCAGTCCCAAAGGGTGGAGGCTGTGTCAGAAAAGGCTCTTCTCCTGGACTTCACCAGACAAACTTCCTTGGCTGATGGGGTCTGTAGTAGGCCCCTTCTGCCAGCATGAGTGGGGCAGGTCAATCCCATTGCGGAAAGATGGTTTCTCAGATATTCAATTCAATTAACAGAAAGATGGTAGAAGATAACTTTATTGGAAGAGGAAAGGTTTGCTGATGCTACTTCCCTCTACAACATTCTGCTCCAGAGTTTTAGGCAATCTCTGGAATAACTCCAAATAGTAGAGACTGCAGGAGAAAATAAAATATTCCTCCTGTCAGACCTGCCCCAGTCAGATCCCTTAGGAAAAAAGACCCTTGACTGTGTTTGGTTGAAGTTATAGGCCAGTGGTGGCGAACCTATGGCACGCATGCCAGAGGTGGCACTCAGAGCCCTCTCTGTGGACACGTGCGCCATCGGCTCAGCCCCGCCTCCCCCCACGGCCCCCTCCTCATCAGCAGCCCCCCCGGAGGAGAGTCGCCCCCAAGCTCAGCCCGCATGGAGCAGCGCAGCCAAGGACATGGCAGTCAGGCAGCAGGGACAAGACTCCACCCTTGCACCCTGTCGTGCGGAGGGTGTAGCTGCCATAGTGCTGCTGGGGCATCTGGGCGATCAGCGGGCTGTGGAGGTGGTGGGTGGCCCTGCGGGTTGGCAGAGCAGGGGGCGGAGCAGGGCAGGGGCGCAAGCTATATGAATGTTTTAAGAACCTCTCAGGATGTTTGGAGCAATCCACATTCCATTCTCAAGCTTCTCAAGTTTCATGGCCTTGAAGACTGGCCCAGGCTGGTTTCTTGCGTCCTTGGTCTCTGTGAAGCTGTCATCTCCCCACTTTTCCCCACCTATGCCCCATGCATGTTTATTTCCCACTTGCTCTTCTCCTGCCCCCTGAAGCTGATGGCAGGATGCCAGCGAGGCATGAAGCCAAAGATGGCAGGGCTGACATCTCTGTTACTCCCAGAGAAGCCTTGACTGGATCAAATATACTTCTGCCACAGGAAGAACTTGCATGTGTGAAGAGTACTTTTTAAAAAAAAAATATTACTCTCTTTTTTTCATTTGAAAAAAAGAGTGTTATTTTCAGCAAATAAAACTTCTCCAACCTGAATAAAAGCCAGTTCGTTCTCTGTTTTGGTTGGACCTGAAAGATTATTAAAATCAAGACAAAATTCAGAGAACCCATTCTGGTTCCTGGGCTTCCCAGACTAGCTTGGAGATCTATTTTGAGTTTCACTGGGAACCAATCGTCAGTCGTTACTGCTCCAAGAAAAATAAGAGGGTGTGTTAAAATTACTTTTGTAGAGATTAAAAGATTTTGATAATTATAACTCTACAGCAAGGATGGGTAGATAACCCACCTATTTTACCTTCCCAGAAGCCCAAGATCAGGCCGTCAGCTTGTTCTGGCAAAATAGTCAAATTTTATTAAGATTTTTGTTTGTATTTGTTTGTTTAGTGGATTCCCCATTTTTTTTCAGCTTAATTAGAATGCTGATAAGCCCATCAGTATGATTGTGTTCTCTGTTGAACAAATGTAAGCTGAACGTTCTGTACTGAAAACAGATGGATCAACTCAGGAATGCAAAGCCAGGCATAATGGTGACTATTTCAACGGCAAAATTAGAATCCCTATTTGTACTGATCCAGTACAAGTAATTCTCAACTTAGGACCACAACCGAGCACAAAATTTCTGTTGCTTGGGCACTCAGTCTCTAAAAGGTTTGCCATCACTGTCCTAGCATATCATACTAAATCCTTTTTCTTCTCTTTACTCTTTCTCAAATGAATGACAAATCTCTAATAACATTTTGCTGCTTGTTTTTAATATTTAATGTAGGAATATGGCACAAGGTTGTGTCGAATGTGTTACAATAGAAGTCTTTATTTATTTCCCACCTTTATTGTTGTTGTTTTTTAAATTGAGGCAGCAAACACACCTAATACCCCTTCCTTCTCCTATTTGCCTTGCAACAACAATCCCCACGAGGTGGGTTGAACAGAAAGAGAGGGACTGGTCCAAGGTCATCCAGCTGGCTTATTTTTATAATCTTTACAACTTACTTAGCTATTTTGTATATTTGCAGTGCGGGATGCAAGAAATCTAATCCCTATGGATCCTAATGGACTCTCAGACCCGTATGTTAAACTGAAACTTATTCCAGATCCTAAGAATGAAAGTAAACAGAAGACAAAAACCATCCGCTCAACACTCAATCCACACTGGAATGAGTCCTTCACATTGTAAGTTGCATTTGGATACTTTGCTTAGCCCTATTACAGTGACATTTTGTTGTACGAATGCCTAAATAAGCTAACTTATTTTTCTGTTCATAGTAAATTAAAGCCCACCGACAAAGACAGAAGATTATCAGTGGAAGTCTGGGATTGGGATCGAACCACCAGGAATGACTTCATGGGATCTCTTTCTTTTGGGGTGTCGGAACTGATGAAGTCACCAGCTTGTGGGTGGTAAGACATCTTTGTAACCTTTGACTATTTAACATATTAACCATAAATTCTACTCAATTGTTGAAATGCTTTGTCGCGGTGTCAGTTAGATAGTTACAGAATGTGTAATTATTAGCTTATAAGAATTGGAAAGCATAAAAGTTGCTGAGTTTTGAAATAATACTTCAGTCAGTAACTTGCTTTGATGTAGAAACAGCATCTTTTTTTTTCAGTTGGTTCCCCAAAGGGTAGAAGAATCCAAGGCAATGATACAACCCTCTTCCTGGTTTCTCCGGAAGGGATGAAGCAGCCTTCAAACCAGCTGCCTACTTAGGATCTTCTGTGCTAATTTCTTACTGCAGGCAAATGCTGCACTTTTTAAGATTATTTACCATCATTTATTAAGGAGAGCCTTTTTGGCCTCAGTAAATTTAGAATACTAGGACTGTCCACTGCTTCCTATTTCTGGTCTTTTCTTCTTCTGAAAAAAAAAATGGCCTGCGTTCAAATAGTAAGACTAAAATGCATAAAACAATCCTTTTTATATATCTCAAATTATTTTCCTCATATTGTTCAGGTATAAATTACTTAACCAGGAAGAAGGCGAGTATTATAATGTGCCAATACCAGAAGCTGATGACGTTGGAAATGCAGAACTCAGACAGAAGTTTGAGGTGAGAACATATTATTGGAGTCAATATAAGAGGTATTCCTGTCATGTCATAAGAGTGTTTAGAGAAGTATATAAGGGTCTCTTTAGAGTCCATTCTCGCATCTCAGAAGTTTTTCCTGTAGAAATACTACCTAAAAAATAAACATTTCAACACCTCTGGTCCCATTAGGTAACACTGTTCTTTGCTAGCCAGCAATTTGCCATGATTCTATTACTTTAGTATGTTGATAACTCGCATTTAATATCAACATAAATTTCGTCACCTATCATATTCACTGTTTTTTAAAAAAAACATTGCATTGATAAATTACACTTAAGTAGTAAGTATGCATTCAGATTTGCAAAAAGATGTCAGTTTCTGCTCATTTACGAATTCATTTGCCCTGGAGCGCCTAAATTTCGCTTTCAATTGCAGTCTACGGAACCCAATTAAATGTGTCGTAAACATTATTTTTCAATCGATTGCACAAGTTTGACTTTAGTTTACTTTGGGGTACGTGCACAAAACATGTAAATACTTAGTCACTACACTTGTTTCTGATTTAAATTAATGCTGTTCTAATTAATGTTTAATTAATCTGACTTACTACCAATTTTCAACTTGTGGCACTCTCATTCTAGCACTCTGTATTCGTGTTTCATAGCTCAGAGTTGCTGAGTTGTGGGGTCATTTCACTGCACATTGTACCCGGAATGGAAGCAGGCATGCAAAGATGTGTACAACTCAATTTTTTCCTCCGCAGCCCCCCAACCTGCTCCGTTTGATTGTTCAGTCAGTGTTGCTAGTTCTTCTGATAGTGGTAGTCCTCGCCTTATGATGATCACAATTGGAATCAGAATTTTGCTGCTGATCAAGGTGGCTGTTAAGTGAGTTGCACTTGATTTTATGACCTTCTGCCATGGTTGTTAAGTGAATCACATGATGGGTAAGCAGATCCTGCTTCCCCTGTTAACTTTGCTTGTCTGAAGCCAGCTGGGAAGGCTGCAGGTCGTGATCATATGACCCTGGTCCCTTCCAACCTCTTTCTGTATTCTGGTGGCTGGCTTTTATCTCAAACCAGGAATGTCTGGTAAAGCACCAATGTTTCAGGTGTGAAACCAGAAGCCAACAGAGGAACCTAAACCTGCATAGAAAAGCAAATTCAGGGGTTCCTGAACATGCTGAACCTATTTTTTTATATAACACTTAATTTCTTGTTGAAATACAATTGGTTTTAGAGGACTTTATATGTAACAATTTTTAGTACAGATCTCTTCAGGGAAAAATACATTCTAGCCCAGTGGTGGCGAACCTATGGCACAAGTGCCAGAGGCGGCACTCGGAGCCCTCTCTGTGGGCACACGTGCCGTTGCCCCAGCCTTGCCTCCCCTACGACCCCCTCCTCTCTCCAGCAGACCCCCTGAAGGAGAGTCACCCCCGAGCGTGGCCCACATAGAGCAGTGCAGCCAAGGACATGGCAGCCAGGCAGTGTAGACAAGACTCTGCCCTCACACATGCCCATCATGCAGTTGATGCTGCAGGGCGTGGGCAGAGGGTGTGGCCACCATAGCGCTGCCTGGGCGATCTGTGGCGGGCCCTGGAGGCGGTGAGTGGTCCTGGGGGCAGGCAGGGCAGGGGNAGTGTGGCCTCCATAGCACTGCTGGACTGCCTGGGCAATCTGTGGTGGGACCTTGAGGCGGTGAGTGATCTGTGGGCAGGCAGGGTGGGGGATGGGGGGCAGAGCGGGCACGGGGCAGGGGGTGGAGCGGGGGCAGGGGGTGGAGCGGGGGCAGGGCCAGTTTTTGGGCACTCGGTCTCTAAAAGGTTCGCCATCACTGTCCTAGCAGGCCAACTAATTCAAGCACAATACTTGAAGAGAAATCAATGCGACTCATAGTTATGACCTGCAGTTTGAATTAAAAAAAATAAATGTTGCTATTAAATAATAATGATGAAAACAAATTACAAAATATGCAAATTGCACAATAGAGTCTCCTGACTTCCTAATATTGAACGATGTGCTTAAGGACTGCTTATTTTAAAGTTAAAACACAATATTACTTGGGAATATTGTCAACCCTACAAGAATATAACACTGATTGACATAATTATTCAAATTTGAAACTGGTATTGATCATTTAGGGGGACAGGTGTAACTATACTTTTTAACCATGATTCCTGTCTGGATATGAGAGAGGGAAAAAATCCTTTTAGGCATATTTTAAATGTAGATAAATGCAGTGTGGTTTACTGAAAATGGAAAAAGTAAATGTTAATAACAAAACTCATAAGTAGCTCTTCTGAGTTTACATGACCTACAGTTAAAGAAAGCTACTTTTATTTAGAAAATCTTGTATATGTATTTTATTGGTCTATGTTTGATTTTCATGCTGCCTTCTGGCTTGTAGTGAATAATCATGGCAGCTTTTTCAAAGGGTACTTAATAGCTTGACTTTGTATTAAGGAATAAACCAAGGAATGCAACTAGCAGATTTCTCTAGAGACAGATTAATCTCTAGATTATTTTTTAAACTATTATTTCTTCCCACTGTATGGCATCATGAACCTGCTGGAAGCGCACCATTCCTAGGCAATTTTGAAAGATAAAAGAGTTTCCTTTCTAGTCTGCATTTTTAAGGTATGTTTGCTCCCACTCCTCTGGGCCGGGGGTAAGCAAGCCAAAGTTCACTGCAAATACTGTTTTGTTCTTTTAAGTCCCCCCCCCCTTCTTTTAGCCAATTGATACATTAGGCTCATTTTCCTCTTTTGATTATAGTATTCCTGCACCCAGCCTTCCTGTCCCCTGCTCCCCTCTCTGAGAGAGGCCAGAATGTGTTTTCCTTTAGCTGAAAATATCAGCCTAATACTTTCATCTATATAACGAACATGGTAGAGAGACTGTATACTGACAATGGTATACAGGTAGTCCTCAACTTATGACCACAACCAGGATCAGAACTTCCGTTGCTAAGCAAAGCGACTGCTATGGTAATTTGTTTGCCTTAAGAAAAGCAAACCATGTGATGCTATGTTGGATATAAAGTAATAGTTCCCTCAATATTTTCTAACTAGCAGGGATGAACCTGTGAGCAAACAATGCAAATATGAAATTTAGACCAAATATACTTTTCCTGTGTATAAAGTGCTTTTCTGTAAAGTATAAAACGGTTGCTCAGCTTATACAAATTTTCTCCCAATTGGACCTTGCAAGTTCAATTTCAGATAGGAGTGCTAATTGGCTGCTCCTTTTGGAATTTGTTGGAAAATATAGCTCTGCTTTGCCATTCACAGAAGCACTGAGCAGTTCCTAAATTACAGTCTTGAATAAAATAAATGCAGTTTTCAGAACAGGGTAATGTCATGGCATAATAAGCATTATGAGAGGGATGAGCAAACATCTGTGCCAGAGGACATAAAATGTTGGATAATGAAAGTAAGCATGATCACTCAGCTGGGTAGCTGTGTGCTATGGTAATTGTGAGAAATACAAATGAGTGTGCATGCAGGCACATAGTATAATACTATCTAACTGCACAGAAAACTGATAATTGTTTCTAAGTACATTTTCTTTGTATAATGCTATATCCTAATTATCCTGCAATTCCTCCTTTTACCCTTTTATTTTTGTTTTTCCTGTAAAGATCTTCAAATTATTCCTGCACATACTATAAGGTTCATTAAAGTTGTTGGTTTCTTCCTATGGATACTTTATTGAACCCAGTAATTGCCTATTTTGGTCAATGATTCCAACTGTCATGTGATGCTCTTAATAGAGGAAATTGATCAAGTAGACAGATAAGGTGCTTTAATGATTGCTTCAGGGCAATTGTCCTGCATTGTGTCGTCTCTTGAGGGTGACATTCTTGGTACAATTTCATTTTCCTCATTTTTTACCTGACACAGAGCAACTGACAGTTCATGTTTATGAGCTTCCCATTCTGCTGCTCCCATTATTGTGTTACGCTTGGTTTTTATTTGTTGTTGCTACTGATGACTATACTTTGATGGCTTTGCTGCTGTTAGATTGGAAATAAAGGAGAGTTTTTTTCTCTCCCACCCCCATTGCTATTTATAGAAGAAGGAAGGTCAATTTGGTGCCTATAATACTTCGCCCCCCCCCCTTTAACTTTTACATGAAGTCTCTGGGAGAGGACATCCATCAGTTTAGAATAAAGTATCATGAATATCAATATGCTATTGCTAGCCCAACTTTACATTGCCATATCAGATCAGACTGGAGATGATGTTAATGTCTTGTCCTGATATCTGGAGATTATTAAGATGGGAAGGCCTTCGTTCTTTAAATGTTTCACTTCAAAGTCTGTGAGGATCTTAGGAAGTCCATCCAAACACAATTATCTTGGCCTTCCTCTTCCTCTCAGTTCACTTTTCCATCATGTATTGGTCTAGTAGTGATTTGATCCTTGTTCATTCTCTCTCTATATAAAACCAAACCACCTCACAGTTCCTTTTTTGTACACATCACCCATCTCTATTTAATACGCATTCCTGTGCTGCCACATACTGTACTCCTTTTCAGCAACCCATTCCCACTTCATTCAAATTACTTTTAGTTTTCTTCTGATACACCTAGCACTCCCTTCCAGATAACAAAATGGGTAGAAGCAAGCTCTTATTCACAGTCATTCTTTCTTTCAATAAACTTTTACATACTCATGTCAGGCCCCGTGCTACCCACGATCTTTCTCCTAGCGTTTTTCCATCATGAAATTCCATCATCCCCATTCTCATCTTTAACATCTTGTAAGCATTCTATAAACGTTCAATTTCATCCACTAGCTCTATTTTTTGTCATTTATGTAAAACTTGAAATCACTTTCTCCATGCATTGTCAAAAGTAACTGTGTGGGCTTTCAAATCAGTCTTGAATCTTGGAGACTGCCTGAACTAGTCCCTGCAGTTTTCTTGGTAACTGTCAAGATTGACTTGTACTTTCACCTAGATTCTGCTTCGCTCGCAACTTGACAGAAAAAGGGAGGGGCGGATGGAATATGAGGGGA